TCTCAATGAACTAAAATTATCATCAGGAAATATTTATTGAGCATCTTGAAGCTCATGCCACTGATTTTAAATTATCCAGAAAACCCTACCCTTTTAGGGATGTCAATGGGAAGGTAAAATCAAAAGTGTTTATATCTTTCATTTCCCCTTCTGTGGACATTCCTTTTTTCTCTCTCTCTCTCTCTTTCTCTCTGCTTCTAGTTTCCTGTTCTTGTAGGAGGAGAAGGGATTAGGATGAATTTTACACCTTGAGTTTCGTGAGTTATAGCCATATTGGATAGCCTTATCCAACAAAGAAGCTAGGATTGCTTATATGGACGTGAGAAGAAAAGAAATTAGATTACCAGTTAATTCAAGACAACCAATTACCTTAGCCTTTGAACTACTACATTAAGTGATTACATAATTGTGGCAGAGAACATAAAGGTGGTGGCTTGAATGAAAACTTCAACTGGCATAATTTTAAGAAGCAATATGGCAGGCAGCTCTGAGCTTGCTACAGAATTAAGAGGAGAAACAGAAGCCCCCCCTTTGGTGAGTTATTTCTCCGTCTGCTATTCCTCAGCTCTAACTTAATATAAAATGATGGTTTGTTCCTTTTTCATGGGTGAAATCAGGAAGTGGGAAGCAGAGTGAGGGTTCCTCAACCCTGAGCCATGGTAACAGTCTTAGTCATCTAGTGCTGCTATAACAGAAGTACCACAATTGGATGGTTTTAACGAAGAGAAGTTTATTTCCTCACAGTTAAAGTAGGCTAAAAGTCCAAATTCAGGGCATCGGCTCCAGGGGAAGGCTTTCTCTCTCTCGGCCTTCTCATCAGTGTTCCCCCAGACTAGGAGCTTCTCTGTGCAGGGACCCCAGGCCAAAGGACGCGCTCTGCTCCCAGCACTGCTTTCTTGATGGTATGAGTTCCCCCGTATCACTGCTCACTTCTGTCTTTTATATCTCAAGAGACTGCCTCGGAACACAATCCAGTCTTGTAAATTGAGTCCTGTGTCACTAACACAACTGCCACCCATCCTCTCTCATTAACATCATAGAGGCAGGATTTACCACACATGGGAAAATCACACAATACCGGGAATCATGGCCCAGCCAAATTGATACACACATTTTTGGGGGGACATAATTCAATCCACGACAGTAACCCAAAGCCATGGTAATCCCAAGTTATGGTAACCCCAAGTCATAGTAACCCCAAGCCATGATTTCTCTTTCCACATATATCCTTTATTCTCCATTAACATAACGGTGGAGAGGAAGAGATTATGCTTGGTTAACAGGAAACAGTTAAACAAGGATACTCAGAGGGTCATTTCCCTCTGCTCAAAGTATGAATAGGCTTGCCATTGGCAGATGACCAGGCAAAAAGCTGACAGTATGATCTTTGGGATCTCTGTATACATAAATAAATTAGGAAAAGATTTATTCAGCTACATGGAGAAGTAGATTCTTTTTAAAAAGTTCTCTTTAGAGGAGTGCCAAGTATTATAAGCCCTTTCTTCTGATGAAGAAATTAAAATCTGGACAATTAGATCTCCTCAAATTCTCTTATATGTTTTAAAAAATGTATACCTTGCACTTGCTTAAAAGTGTTTGAGAACAAAAGTGGAGGGTTTTTTTGTTTTGTTTTTAATAAAAAGCATTATGACATCTGAGCAATCTCATGTAAACTATATCACCAAATACATTTGTATGAATATCCAGCATTGGGTTGGAACCAGGCAGCAACACTGCAGCAACGGTACCATTACAACACTGGGCAAGGGATCCTGGGAAAAATGGAATGAGTGACAAAATGGAAGAATTACATCAAAGGAAAGGGCAACAGATGAAACGGAACAAATGAGAAAGGGAAATGGATGGGACGATTAAAAAGGAAAGAGTCATCTTAGTAAATCCTGCTACTTCCCCTATCCCCGCCCCACAAAAAGAAAGAAGTTAAAAAAAGAAAAACCGGAATTTGCTAAAATAGGAATGAAATAGATAATAAAACTCTTAACAAAGTTTTAGCATGTCCTATTTCAGCAAAGGGGACACAGAAAGGGAACAGGAAGCCTGCTGCACAGGCCATTCCCTTATCTCGTCCGTGCGCACATGCAGGCCCTCGCTGGCCTAGACTGGCCCTCTCTGTCACAACTGGATCCTGCTCTCCTCTCAGAATAAACTGTCGCCAAATAACTTTACATGTCCGTGTACAGTAAGTTATCCATGTGTTGTCAGAGCTTAGTCTCCTCCAGACTGTCTCTAAAGGCTCAGGAATTTCTCACTGGCCATCAGAATTTTCCAAGGTCTCATAATTCACTGACCAAAAAAAAACAACCCCACCAAACCTACTGCCGTCAAGCCGATTCCAACTCATAGTGACCCTATAGGACAGAGTAGAACTGCCCCATATGGTTTCCAAGGAGCAGCTGGTGGATTTGAACTGCTGACCTTTCAGTTAGCAGCTGTGGCACTTAACCACTTTGCCACCAGGGTTTCCAAACCACTGACAAGCAGAAGTAATAGGGAAGAATATTAACAAAAGATGGAAGGACACCAGGAGGGAACAACTCTTGCAAATTGGCCTTTTGCACTCCAACAGTCTGAGACCTGGAGCAATAGCACTGCCATCTTGGTATTCTAGAAGGCAGTCCCAGGGTTACTAACATCTGACTTATGGACAACTCGTCCTTGCACTTTAATGTTATTTGCACTTTAATGTCAAAATGTGCCCTCCCTTTAAAACAATTGAACCAACCTCTACCAGCAACAAACTCTTCTTCACAATCACCTTCACTTGCTCCACGTGGAACTTTTAAATTATTGAAAAGACGTCGAGCCCTTTCTTGCACTAAGGTAAGACCAACTAAGAACCTTATGCCTTTGTTCTGAATTAACCACAAATTTGACTTAAAGACACATTTAAGAATGGATCTTGTTTGAACCCGGAACTGCTTGTAAGTAGTCCTCCTCAAACTTCAATGTGCACAGGAATTACCTGGGGATCTTATTTAAATGCAGAGACTGGTACAGAAGGGCTGAGGTGGAGCCTGGAATTCTGCCTTCTAGTAAATTCCTGTTGTTGTTGTCCTCGTCTTGTGCTGTTGAGTCAACTCATGGCAACCGTATATGACGGAGCAGAATTGCTCCATAGGGTTTCCAAGGCTATAATGTTACCGAAGGAGCCCTGGTGGTGCAGTGGTTAAACACTCGGCTGCTAACCAAAAAGGTCGGCAGTTTGAACCTACCAGCTGCACCACGGGAGAAAGATGTGGCCGTCTGCTTCCATAAAGATTTACGGCCTTGGAAACCCTATGGGGCAGTTCTGCTCTGTCCTATAGGGTCGCTATGAGTTGGAATCCACTCGACGACAAAAGGTTTGGGTTTTTTTTGGTTTTTGTTTTTGTTTTTGGTAATCTTTACAGAAGCAGATTTCCAGGTCTTTTCTTACACAGAGCCACTGGGTGGGTTCAATCACTGACCTTTTGGTTAGCAGCCTAGAGCTTAACCACTGTGCCACTAAACCTCAAAACCAAACTCATTGCTGTCGACTCGATTCTGACTCATAGTGACCCGATAGGATGGAGTAGAACTGCCCCGTAGGGTTTCCAAGGCTGTAATCTTTACGGAGGAGCCCTGGTGTCACAGTGGTTAGAGCAATCAGCTGCTAACCGAAATGTCGAAGGTTGGAAACCATCAGTGGCTCCCAGGAAGAAAGATGTGGCAACACTGGGAGCCACTTGGAAAACCTATGGCATTGCTACGAGTCAGAATTGACTTGACGGTGGTGGGTTTGGTTTGGGTTAATCTTTACAGAAGCAGACTGCCATATCTTTCTCCTGCAGAGCAGCTTGATGGGTTCAAACTGCCAACATTTTGGTTAGCAGTCCAGCGCTTACCCACTGTGCCACCAAACCAAACCCACTACAGAGTCGATTCTGACTCATAGTGACCCTATAGGACAGAGTAGAACTGTCCTGTAGGGTTTCCAAGGCTGTAAATCTTTATGGAAGCAGACTGCCACATCTTTCCCCCATGGAGCGGCTGGTGGGTTCGAACCGTCAACCTTTAGGTTAGCAACGAAGCGCTTAATCACTGTACCACCAGGGTTCCTTTAACAAGCTCTTAGTGATACCAATTCTGCTAGACCACAGACCACACTGTGAGGAGTAGATTATAGAGCACCCTGGTGAACACTGAATGAGTCAGGTAGTGACGTGAGAGAGAGGGAAAGAGTGTGTGTGTGTGTGTCCAGAAGTACATTCTTTCCTTAAGGTACATACGGAGAGATAGCAGAAGGTGGGACTCTATCATTTATTACTGAACCTTGTTCTGATTCCCAAGCATTCAGATTTGCTACAGTTTCTCCTTAGGACTTCCAGGCAGATGGAATTCTGTGCACACACAGCAATACTCGCTGAAGGTAACCCCAGTGAAGGAAGAGCAGCTCAAGGACTCTGGAAGTTCTAACATGATGCATTAGGTCGCATTGGGTTGATCCCTTACAATCTTTTCCTACCTTCTTCTTACCTAATCCTTCTTCAACAGTGGAAACTATAAATGTCTCTGAATCATCCCCAACCTGAACATCAAGGGATGTTGGGAAGCTTTGCTAATTAAGCAGAAATATTGAGAAAATGCTAAAAACACAGCTGCACTATCAAAGCTAGTGGTTTGACCCTAATTTTTTTCACACACTCTAAAGATTTTCTTGATGTAGAAGGTTCCTTGGTGTTCTTGTGTGAGGGAGAATGAGGTATAGGCCCTCCTCTACAAACCAGAGGATAATAGCATTAGGGAAAAGATATGGTATAAGAAGAGTTTGAATTAATAGTTCAATCCTAGTTGGGGGCAGGGGGGTCTCATCCATATTTCCTTTCACAAAAACCACACGTTGCGTGCCTTGGTGTGGGTGTCCTAGAAGTAGAACCTAAACTTGCATACTTCCTGACTGACAGAATTCTCCTGCCAGAGCCTCAGGGCCAGGGTGGTGAGTGTCACTGGGAGGAGTAACCAAGTTTCACTTCCTTGCCGGTTGGAGACTCACAGCTACAGCAGGCTTCTCTCTCACTGAAGAGCGAGAGAGTGTGAGGAGCACCAGAGCCAATCTCTCTCTGTGTCTTCCCCATAGCACCCCGCAGGGGCTCTGTGGATGTGAGGAGGGTGAGGAGCGCGAATGGGCAGAGCAGAAACGCTAGAAGGGAAGATGAGTACCCAGGATCCCACAGACCTGTGGAGCAGATCGGATGGAGAAGCCGAGCTGCTCCAGGACCTGGGGTAAGAGAGCAAGTCCACTTTTCAAAAGTGCTTCTTGGGTGAACACTAAGCTTCTACTCCTATCCAAATGCTTCCTTCAGTTAATGATTATCTTCAGCGCTCTGTTTTTCTCTGCCACTCCTGATCTTCTATTTTTCCACTTTACTGGTTTGAGTCTGTTAGGTATTTTCCTGTTTGGGACTAATTGCATTACAAAAACATAGATTGTTTTTCCAGATGTGAAAACAGATTGAGAAATTGGAACAAAAATCAGTTGTTGGGCAATTGTTTTGAGAATAGGGACAGAATTGGGATGCATGAGTTGATATTGCTTAGTTGACTTGTTATTGCTCTGCTTAATGAATAATTGTGTTGTTAAAGGGTTTTGATTGCTGAGTTATCAAGAGTAAGAGAACTATATTGAGGGTAAGATATACAGAAAGCCTAGCCTACTGTAACCTAGAGGAACTTTTTCAAAAGAGAAAGAATAAGGAAGTGTCTGTAACAATCTCACATATGTGCTTATTTCTCCTGACACTGCCTTCGTGAGCTCTTGTGTACGTCCATGTCTGTAGGGTAAGTTAGTTCATAACAGAAAAAAATTCTGCCTCAAAGAGATTATGAAGTTAGTAGTTGGAGTCATCCGAGTCCTGTCATTAAAAGGGACCCAGATGAGACAACTTATCTGGTTACTTAATACTTAAGTATTACACACGAGAGAGTAGGGGACTTCCTAGAGAAACTAAACCAACCTAAAACACACAGAAGGCACTGACCGGGCTGGTTTTGACACTTGTGATCCAAGAAAGGTGAAACCTGACTTCTTGTCTTGATTCATAGCTCTAAATCTTCGCAACAACCCAACGACATAGAAACTCTTACCATTTTCATCTTACAAAAGTAGAAAATGAGCACTACTGGGTTGAATAACTTGCCATGAATCAATTAAATGACAGAGCTGGGATTCCAGCCTGTCAAAGTCTGTTTTCTTAACCGTAGGAAAGATGAAATAGGAATGAAATCTCTCTGCATTAAGA